TGGTCAACATTTAGGAATAGGGTTTTCGTAAATGTTGGCCGACAGTGAAAATCAAACTTATCGAACGATGAACGGGCGACTGTTGGCCGACTTAAAATTATTTAATTTTTGAAAATTATTGTTGTTCTTGAAAATTGATGTGAGTGCTCCGCATCGCCCTGTGCTACTGTCAACCGATCATGTTTTTCCATCGACGATACAAGAAAAATTTGGTCGCCAGACTATCGGTTTAAGATGGCTACAGATTTGTCAAACTTGAGAAATAAATTCCTTTATTGATGTTTTACAACATTAGCTTGGTCAAATAAGGTGTTTCGGGGCATAATTTTTAGTAGCTGCAATAATGTAGCCCTCTCCGATTTTTTTTTTGGGGGGGGAGAGGGCTACAACTCCTTAGGATCTCTATAATGGCGCAGATGCGGCAGTGGATCACTCCCGCACGGATTTCGGCTCAAATTATCAGTTAACGGCTATTTTATAATCATCTCTTACCTGGAATCCAAATATGTAATTATGCAAAACATAAATCGATCCAAAAATATTCACAACGATCCATATATCGGTTATTTTTCGTGTGTGTCAACAGCTTAACTTGAATTTATCCGCCATGTTTACTGACCTTGATGGATTGTATTTTGGGACAGCCAATGAGAATTTAGGTTCTATAGGAGCGGATCTACTAGGAATTCCCTTATTTTAAGCATACGTATCGCTGTTTGCGCAAAAATAACAATTGAAATGGTGTTATTTATCGATGTTTTTGTAATATGTTATAGCACAATCGTTTATAAACATCGACATTTGCTTTATTTGGTTGTTCCAAATTTCAAGCGAAAGTCTCACTACGTCACGCGTGAACTGTCAGGGCTGCTGCTGGGAAAGACACAGATTTATTTTACATGGTTTTCGAGTTTAACAGGCTATGTTTTTGACAGTGAATAAAAATTCCGTCTTATAAGAAGTAAGTTTAATGTAAAAAAAAATTATTTTGCCTCCAATCACCCGTATCAAAAAAATATATTTGCACCATTACGGAGATGCGATGGAATTGTAGCCCTCTCCAGAAAATATCAGATAAAAAAAAAATCGGAGAGGGATACATTATTGCAGCTAAATTTTTAGGTAAACAAGATGAAAAACTGTATTTTAAACTGTCATTTTCAATGAAAAATTAAGAAAACTAGTCATGAATACGGGAGTTTTTTCTCATATTCGACAAAGAAATGTATCCAGATTGCCTACAGTCTCGCAAAAGAAGGTAATTAGTATGCTCATTGCCTCTTCTTTAAATCTTTATCAACTTTAATATAGGTATCCGGTTTACTTTTCATATGATTTCAAATTGAATGTCATGAAAATACCCTATTTTCTACATAATTCTGCTGAAGCCGTAAAGTATGGGAAAAAGAAAGATGAAATTGATTATGACGTCATGGATCTAGCACCAAAAAAGATGCCTCAAGTTATTTACTAGATCTTGACCTTAACGAGGTCCGATCTACTTGATCTGTGCATATGTTTCAACGTCGACTCATGCTTGTCACAGTACTTAGCCTTGACTGCCGTCACAATTGAATTCATTGTATTTACATTTGCAAATGTTTTCCTTTATATAACACTACTGAAAACAAGCGTATTTATAACTGTATAAATACAAGTACGGGGTTAAGAGGTCATAGATGTGCGTATAGATAAACGTTCGACGTAATTTGTCAGTCGACGCACGTTCAGTGAATTACATACATGCCGTTGGGTTTGAAAAATAATGCATTTCATACGTTAAAAGTCAAAATTAGGCAAATCTAAAGTATGAATAAGTCACAAATGTAAATATAAGTAATAAGGTACCATTTTTTTAAAAAAAAAATTTTGGGATGTAAAACGGGTTGGCACATGATTAAATCTTCCATACAGCCCTTCGGGCTTTATGGGATTTGATTACGTGACCAACCCGTTTTACATCCCAATAAAACTAAAAAAAAAAGATACCTTATTTCTTAAATATAAAAACGTCACAATTAAAATGACGTCAAATTGCGCTAAAATGTTTCGATGATCTTTCATACCTGGAAGCTCTATAGACTGCGCATGTTGAAAGCTGGTATTTCTATTATATTAATTATTATTGTTTACATGATTTTTTTTATTATTTTTTTTTATTAATAAACATCTTTGGAACATTTACTTTGAAGAATGAATTTCTACAGATTTATTAATATTATCTTGTTTTACTTCAATTTGTGAGTAAAAAAACTCCCACTGAAACCAAAAGTAAACGATTTTAGTCTTTCTCCTCGAGCATGTTGAAGTGTTTAAACACGCTTTTTATCGAGGACTTAATATGAATGGATTAGCTTGATTTTTGAAAAATAAGTCCATGAATCGTTTATAAATGCAACCCCCGAAATATTTTTTTTTTTCTTTATAATACATGATATTAGTTAAATTCGTAATTTTGTCGCCTCCCTCCCGAAAATAGTTTTTTTTGTGTTTGGACAATAGGCACATTTTCCTTTTTTTTTTTTGCTTCTCAGATGTTTGTGTACGTTTGAATTTTTTTTCTCTTGTCTATCACTTAGCCCTCTCCCTTTTGTTTCCGACGCCAATGATTGTACAATACCGTAGCTTAAATTCTTTAATAATGCTACAGTCTGTAGTTACATAAGAAATATATTACTTGTATATAGAAAATTTAAGGACGTATGGAATATGTATAGAATTGAGGGTTACTTACACAGTTTAGTCGCAAGCATGATAACTTTTCTACATTTTAACGAAGTGTTTCTACAGTTGGTGAAAAACGTACATACATAGGTAATTTATTCCATAAATGAACACGGGAAAGAATTTTTAAACTGATATATTGGTTTCAGATTGTTAAACTTAAACATTAGAAAAAATGAATTCAATTGCGTCTCTTAATTAAATATCCAGTTGTCATACCGTGATGGATTGTTTGGAACAATAATATACATTTAAGAAAATTAATCAGCTCGTGTGACGTCATAGGATTTTCCGTCCTTAAAAAACGTAAACATGACATGATTTTTTCATGTTTGCATTTTGGTAATGATTTCTTTGCAATATTAAGGTAAGCATCACCATTTCATATTTTTCTAGTAAATAAATTACATGAATGACTTGAACGAATGAAAATCTTTTTTAAATACTGAATAAAAAACGTGTTTGTGATTTTTTTTCTTAAGTTGTCTTAACTGCGCAATTTTTCCTATCCAGATGCAGTGTGATTGGGGAAAAACTTTTTCAATTTTCAAGCCTATTTACACTTAAAATTTTTAGATATTTTTTTAAAAGATACACGACTGAAGTCCACTTAATTATATCTTAACTAAATATTTAAAAGTCTCATAATGGACAGAAAAATGTGTCTGTAAGGATTGGGATATTCTGCATTGACACTGTAGGGCATGGAATATATATGTCAATCAATATCTCAAAAATAAGGTAAGATAAGAAACGAATCGGTTATTAAATATCTGCTGAAAGATATGTGTGACATCTGCACTTATAATTTAATTAATTTTCTAAATAAACTCCGAAACGACTAGTTCATAGTTCAGAGTTCATACATACTTACTTCACTAATATTGTTTTTGGTACGAGCTGATGTCCGTCAACTATATTTAGATTTCACTCTCAAAGCACAGAAGTTGGCGTACCTATCAATTTTACCGAAATATTCAGTTAATACAAAAATACGTCATACCTATATTGACAATTATTATATGTATTTTATACGTATTTTTTATTTACTGATAATTTCGGTAAAAAATGATAGACCTGTACGCGAACCCCACTGCTCAAAGTAATCCATAAATTATTTGATCAAATGCTGACTGACGTTTTTCCTAATAATTGTTAGGCCATTATTCAAAAAATGAATTGTCAAAGAATTTTATCGTTGTTTCCCGATCATGACAGGGAGCACACGGCGGGGGATGCTCACTCCTCCGTGACACCTGATCCCACCTCTAATGTTTAAGAAGTCCGCGTTTACTCTGCTCCTGATTTGTACTGTTTGAATGGACTTTTGAGCTCAAATATTGTTCTTTATCTCCATATATTTCATTGATAAACCAACATTATCAAAAAATTCCATCAAAACTTGATTTAAGTGATGTAGAAGAAATAAGTTGTGATTACTGGTGAAACAACAAAATGTGCAAATCCTTTTCGTTTTTATCCTGTCGATTGCAGATTGCATAGAACCCGATTAAAAAAGAAAGACGAGTTGATATAATAATCAGAGCTATACATATTTTTACCATTTATATAATCATAAACCTTGGATTTTGATCCAATTGAAAAAAAAAGTTTAAAAATTTATCTAAAAAAAGTTCTTTGCAAAAATAAACTATTTAACATAATTCGTACTGTGGGATAAAGATTTGTCAACAAGGCTTGACTGCCATTGCTAAGGAATTCATCATATTCTGAAAAAAGACCAAATTATATTTAGAGAAACTCCCATGCCGGGGCAAACTGTAATCCTCGTTAAATGAGTAACACGTTACCGATTCAATATCACACATTGTTGTGGTCATAACATTGTACACATGCTCATATAAAAATGGTGCTGATGTTAGACATATCGGAGAAACCAAAGATGCACCTTTACAGAAGAATTTAAAGAAAGGTTAATTTATCACCATTATATAGACAATTTGATTAGTCCTCTTTTTTCAGTCTGGAAAAGCAGACCTTTAAAAAATTAAATGACAAGAGAGAGCTTGAAATGGGAATCAAAATTAAAATATTATTAAAGATATTTTAATACACTTTTTAACGCACTCGTCCAACCCCAAATTTGTATCTACGATAAAGAACCCATCTCGTTCTCTAAATAAAGGAGTCGTCTTTCTAATCCAGGACTGAGGTAGGTAAGTTGAAATAACATTTATTTCGAAATCAACATTCGCATAAAAGAAAAATTTAAAGCATATTTTTTGTACAGATTCAACATTGAACCGAAGCCGAAGGACTGTACTTCAAATTCTTTTGTCAGTCAATATGAATCCAAATTTAAAGGATGGAAAAGGCAACAGTCCGTTATGTCTTTCTCTTAGAACAAATGCAGAGGACTTCCGAAAGTTACTAGTAGCAGGATATGATCCGTTTTCTAAAGAGGAAAATATAATAGAGAAATGTGTCATGTCGGGTAATATATCTTTTATATCTTTTATATTATCTGTTGATTGAAATCATAATCTTTAGTTTCCAATTTTCATTTGAAATTATCAGTACAAAACTAAGTGAAAAATTATTCTTTAGATGATCTTTCCTTTCTTAACGTGCTGCTTCAGGAGAAAGGAACAACATTTATATGCAACAGTCTCTTTTCCAAATTTTGGGAGCGACAAAATGATGCTACATTTTTAAGAAACAGATCTCACATCGCAGCTGTGACATTACAGATGTTAAGTTCACCCCAGGAGCTTAACGTAAACGTAATAAATCGCTTAAGGACAACACCTCTTCTCTACTTTTGTGAACAAAATGAAGAAGTGGTTGTAGAGAGGCTGTTAGAGAGGGGAGCAGATGTTAACATCAGAAACAACCATGGACGGACAGCTCTGCATACAGTACTTCACTCTGAGGGTATTGTTAAATTTCAATTTTCTTAATATCTAATACATTCCAATTTTGTTTAAATACAGCAAATTTGATTATAGATTTTAGATTTTCAGGGTTATTCATAATTATTTTTGGTTAGCATCCTTATAAAAATGTAAACTTATTGCATGGTTATTATGAGCAGGTGAGCCTACCAAAAGATGAAATTCAAAGTCCCTGGGTCGGGGATTTGTTGAGTGTACTGTGAAATTTTTTTTTTAATTTGAAAAATTTCTTTGCCCCTTGGTATTAAGCAAACATACTAAATATATGGTTATTTTCCTATTGATGTGCAATTTTCCTCAGGTGACTATTGCTATCTGTTTTCGTCCGTCGTCATGCGACGTGCGTGTGCATTTTTAACTTCTTCTATGAAACCACTAAACCATATATGGGTGAAGAAGAGAAGAATTTGTGATTTCTTGACCCTGTGCCCCTGGGACCTGAGGGTTTGGGCTTAAACCATCAAAATTAAAAATCTAAACATCTTTTTCTCTGCTCCTAAACATGAAGCACCAAACTGGTGGTATGATTATAATAAGTATTGTGTCCTCTACCAAATTGTGAAATTCATGACCCACGGTCAATGATGCTTGGACAGGCCTCAATTGATTATAAATAGATTTAATGAAAACGCCTTGTTTCTTTTAAAATCTTCTCCTCTTCTCCTTGGCATTAAGGAAAAACCTAGAACATAGTTATGATGAGGAATGGTACCTATTCCAAAATTTGAATAATTTCATGACCACATGATCACGGGTTGTGGTTTTGGGGCTCTAATGAATAATAGTAAAAATACATACATAATTACCTCTGCTCCAAAGCGTTAAGTTGGTGAAATAAATACATTGTTTTATGCCCCTGTAAACAAAGTTTCGGGGCATGTTTTTGTCGTGTCCGTCCGTCCGTTCGTCTGTCTGTCTCTCTCTCTCTGTCTGTTTGTCTGCAAAAACTTTAACCCTTCTCATAAGTTTTCATTTAGTGGAGCTAAGACTTTTATATTTCACACGTGTATTCTTTGTGACAATACCTTTCTTAGGGTATCACCAAATTTGACCTTTTGACCTTGGTGTTTGACCCACTTTTACACAAAAATTCCGAACTTTTAATTTGGCCATATCTTTTTAACAGTAAATTTCAGGACATTTATACTTCAGATATGTATTATTTGTGGAAAGCCGTTTCATTAGATAGCAACATACTTGACCATTTGACCTTAACATTGGAGATTTCTGTACTTATGAAAAAACTGTAACCTTGATTAAAACTCTTAAACGAATATACTTCACGTATATAATCCTTGTGAGTAGACCTTTCATTGGATACCAATAACTTTGGCCCCTTGACCTTGACCTTAGAGTTTGACCTACTTTTAAAAGGCAAACCTTGACCATAACATTTAAAGGGTCAGGGCTAGTTCTTTCATACTTTACTATTTAATTCTTGTGACAATACCTTTTATTAAAAGCAAGACCCATTGACCTTGAAGTTTGACCTACTTTTTAAAATTTTAAACCTTGCCCATGATTTCTGAATTGTAAGAACTAGGGCTTTCAAGACCTTTTGACCTTGACCTTGGGGATTGTATTTCTTATCACAAAACTTTAACCTTGGGCATAACTTATAACCTTTGAACGCTAAGGGCTGGTGATCTCATATTTCACATAGATAATCCTTGTGACAAGACCTTTCATTTCATAGTAAGACCTTTGACCTTTTGAACTTGAACTTAGAGTTTGACCTACTTTTTAAAATTTTTGACCTTGGCAATAAATTATGAAAGGTTAGGGCTAGGACTTCCATACTTCACATATATGTATTTTTTTGTGGCAAGACCTTTCATTGGACACCAATTACCTTTATCTTTTGACCATGACCTTTGAGATTTTCATACTATGAAAAAACTTAAACCTACTTTTATATTTCAGAATTGTATTTCCAATGAGTTTACATTTAACTGTTTAAGGATAGTTCAATCTTCGCTAAGTTGCCATACGGGGGCATCAGTGTTTCACAAACACATCTTGTTTTTATTGTAATTTTTTGAGATAGCAAACAGTATTCAAGATCAAAAATCCATAAAATAATACAAAATAGGAGTAGAGCAAACACGGGCCTCCAAAACAGGGTGAGATAAGTTGCCATGGAGGAGTGAGCGTCCCCTGCCAACTGATCACACCCACTGCGTGCTCCTTGTCATGATCGGGAAATACTAGTATAGGAAAACCCGTCGTCAATTCAGTGTATAAACAATGGACTAACAATTTAGTATAGAAGTGTCGGTCAGCATTTGACTCAGTGATAAATTGTATTTGCTGACAAGGCCATTATATCGACTATATTACAAAAGGATGAATTTAAACAAGACTGCTGATATTCTTGTTTCATCAACTTGTTTGTCACTAATTTACCTCGTTTTAAAAATTGTTCATACATAGAGCATTCGAATTAAATGATATATATAAACTCTGTATGCAGGTCATGATGATATTGCTGCATAAGCAAGAGAAGTTGATGGCAGAAAAGTTAGGGATAATAACCTATGATTGGGTCGTTTTAGGCCGACTTGTTTATAGGGATTTGTTTTACTGTTTTGGAGTTGTCCATTATCCGGTCAGTACAAAGAGATCACAACCAGTCACCAGGAGAGGCTTTCTCCTACTAGGCACCTGCTCTTCCTTTAAAATGTTCGGGGTCCGTATTTTATGCCATGATAACAAATTTTTGGTGTCGTAGTTTTGGATTTAGATCAATTGCTGTACGTAATCTTAATCTTTTTTTTATTTTATGAATTTCATAAAGTGAGAGTTAACTTTTATAAATAAATAATAATCAAAATTTACCAGAAGGAAAAGTCTTTCATGACAAATGCACAAGAATGAATAAGATTAAATAAAAATATAATTTTAATTTTTTGAGAAATGTTTTTGGCATAAAAATATTAAAAAGTATATGGAATCTTCTTAATATTGAAAATTTAAGCCTTAAAAACCATAGAAATAAGAGAGCAAATTCCATTTATGCATAAAATAAGATCAATGATTGTAAAATACCAGAAAGGGCAGTTTTGTCATATCATTCCATATAAACAATAAGTAATGGATATGTACATATAGAAAAGTATGAGGCATATATCATACTTAAAACATTGCCATTTAAATGTCCAAAAGTTACCTGGAGGAGTCCGATAATTACACATGGGATTCAAGAATCCATTGTTTTCTACCCGTCTGATAAGTAGATAAAAGAAACGAGACAGTAAAAACAGTGAATGAACTCTTTTTTTCATTTCTTTCATTCAATGGTAGTCGTTTAGCTAAACAGGACATTAATTGGTTCAGTGGTGAAGGATTTTTTTTTATTTTGGAACATTTTTTTTTTAATTTATTATGTGCATAAATTTACATTGACGCAGACATAATTTGAGTGATATTATAATTGCCATCACCATGGAAAGTAAAAAATGCGGATTTTCATCTTGAAGTTTATATAATTAAAGTTCCCAGGTTTTAAAAATGCCTTTATCGGGGAACAAGCCTTATAAAATTAGGAAATTTGCAAATTCCTTCTCAGAAATGAATTTAAATTCAGTAATCAAAGTGCTGTATCAAAAAAAAAACCTTTGAAAAGTGGAAAGTATTAATTTTGAGGGAGGTTCAAATTAACTCCATTTTTTTCATGGATTTGCTATTTTGTAGCAACTAAATTTCCTTGCGTTTGTTTTCCCTGAATTTTTTTTTCAAACATTTTTATTGGTTTTTGGACATATTTAGCATTTTTTCACTGTTCTTTTTGCTTTTTAAATACCGTCCGATTTTGTTATCATTGCCGTCCGATAATATATTATCGGACTGGTAATTATTATTATCGGACGGCTACAGATAAATTTTATGACTACAAGAACAATGGCATGGCATCACAACAATGTTTTAAATGATTATAACACAAATTAGCAGTTTTGTCATATCATTCCTTAAATCAACAATAATTTGTGAAAGTAGGTTCATAATAAATATACTCAATACAAAAAGGTCTCTAAAGAATCTAATTTTTCATTATGATTATTTTTCTTTGTAGATAAAAATGTTAGATATCATATTCTTTCGCTATTAATGAAGAGGAATCCCAATTTGAACATTAGAGATGCATCTGGGATGACAGTTTTTCAAAGAGCAAAGGAGGTGTACAAAGGACATCTTTGCAATAGGCGCGCCGATTTCAAATGGTTATCAGTTTTTATGAAAGAGGCGTTACTTGCAGGAGAAATTTGCGGAAAGTCTCATTTGAATTCCTTACTTGTGTTAGCATCTCAGAGAAAACATTTTAATTTCATGACCGTTTTGCTTAACAAAGGTGCAGATTTGTCAGTCAAAGAGTATCAAAGTGGAATTTTGCATCTATGCTGGTCACGTCAGTTCCATTATGAAGGTAAATTACAGAATCGGATCATTTTTTCAAGTTGTTAACAAATATATTCAGCGAATATTTTCTTTCTTTTATTTGATTTTCCAAAGCTACTTTAAAGAGTAATCTAAATTAAAATAAAACGGCTCTAACAGGTTAATAAGTCGTGAATGTGTGCTACGGTATTTAAAAGTTCATTTGTTTGCTTTTTCAAAAAAAGAAAGAGAGAAAAATAATTTTGTCTTTCATTAAATCATCTGTGCCATAATTCTTGTTGAAGTTTGATTACTTAAGAGTTGTCTATAATTTTGAATATTTATCAGTTATAGACTTGACTACTTTTAATTTGACCTTACTACCTGACTACTGTGCACTTCAAAATAAATAATTCACAGAGTCTCGTCTACATCTACGTGCTTGGATTCGCTGTCATCTTGTAGTATAATTGTCCCCCGCTTGAAAAGTGGGGGATATTAATTTGGGTCTGTCCGTCGTCCGTCCGTCCGTCCGCCCGTCCGTCCGTCCGTCATTTTACCTGTCTGTAACGCTTTCGTTTCCACACGATATCTTGAGAACCTTTGAGTTTTTGCAATAAAATTTTGCATATCAACTCCCTATGGACTAAAGAAGAAACCTTTTGATTTTGAAATCAAAAGGTCAAAGATCAAGGTCATAAATTTGCATATTCTCTCTGTTATAACTTTCGTTTCCGTGTGATATCTCGAGAACTCTTTGAGCTTTTGCAATGAAATTTTACAAAACAACTTCTTGTAGCCTAAGGAAGACCCCTATTTATTTTGAGGTCAAAAAATCAAAGTTCAAGGTCGTAAATTTATACATTATGTCTGTTTGTAACACTATCCATTCTGGGCGATATTTCAAGAAGATGTTGAGCTTTTGCAATGTAATTTTATACCAAAACTCCCTAGGACCTCTTTCACCCCTCTCAAAGTGTCCCGCCCCGTTTGTTTTATTAGTATGTATTGTATTACATGTCGATTTTTTTAGCACAGGGGCATGAGGAGAGTTTTTAAGTATAAAACAGGTTCTCGACGGACTTTATAATCTTATTACATTAGAACTGTTTAATAAAGGTTAAATTAGACACCATGCATTGTGTAAAATTTTGACAATATCGAACGTGAATATATAAATACAGGTATGTGACTTCATCTTTACATATAATTTTCACCAGTGTAATGCAGTGCCGTGGTATAGTGGTATGTCTCTTGCTTCACATGTGAGAGGTCCCGGGTTCGAATCCCGGACGATTTCTTTTCTTTTTTTTTTTTTTTTTTTGGAAATACTTTTTTTTTACTGAATGATAGTATTTAGCATGTGAAATCAAAAAAAAAAAATATGAGGTCTGGCTTGTACAAACTCATAAAATCATTATTAAAGTGTGATAAATATTCCATATAAAAAGAATCTTCTATACACATAATCAAGAATAAGCAATCAAATCTTTACATGCATATTGACATACATATATTTTATTTGCTTCAGTATACATGTATATATTTAATAATTCTACAAAATCAGTATGGGGGATCCGACTTTTTCCCTAAGCGGGGGACACGAATTTTCTGAATTAGCTTATTTAAATCTTGTGATATTAATAAGCTGTACTTCTCTTTTTCAATATACATTTCTCATTTAGTTACTGTATCTAAATAGGACATATGCAACGTACCCTACCTTCTGAACATTATGTTCCCCAAACGAAGTTGGGGAAATATTGTTTCTTCTCTGTTTCTTAATTTTATCATTTTTGATGAAATGCTTTCAAACTCATAATGTAAGGATATATTAGTAGTACTGGGAGTATAGACATGTCGACATGGTCAAAATAGCAAGATCTCACGCGCATGCCCGCGCGCTTCGCTCTTATTGGCTGAAACTAAAGTCTCAATATCTTTCTTGTTTTTCTTGTTCTTTGTTCTTGCCCATAACTTTTGATTAAGTGGAGCTATGACTTTCATATTTCACTTGTGTTTTCCTTGTGAAAAGACCTTTCTCTGGGTATCACCAAATTTAACCTTTTGACATTGACCTTGGAGTTTGACCTACTTATACCAAAAAAAAAAATTAATTTTTACTTTAATTGGCCATAACTTTTGAACTGTAGATACTAGGGCTTTTATATTTCATATTTGTATTCTTTGTTGCAAGATCTTTCGTTGGATATCAACAACTTTGACATTTTGATCTTGACCTTGGAGGTTTCCGTACTTCTAAAAAAACTTTTACCTTGGCCATAACTTTAAAACGGTAAGGGCTAGGGCTTTACTTCAAATATATATAATATATGATCACGAATCAATAAGGCGTCTGCAGAAGTATCGACCTGGTGCTACCACTTTGCAAAGATTAGCAGCCCTCAAATTGGCTGCATATATAGATTTAGGTGTGACCTTTTTGACCTGCAACACTGTTTGGATGTTTTCTTGTAATTTAATTATCTTATCTCTAGGTTACGACATGGTTATTTTTTACGTGTAAAATCTAATGCCTAGGAAAAATAAATATAAACAAAGGATTCTAAAGTGTATTGTAATGTGCAAGGGAGGTCACTGCCTGTGAACCCCCGCAGGCTCGTATCCGTGATAAAAACGGATAGCCTTGAGATGCTGCAAATATTTACAATGCGTAGTCTTAATCACTTGGTACTGCGTTATATAAGGTCTTTACTGGTAGCGAACACGTGACACTGGCAGGGAAGTCCACACACCAGCGCACTTCCACAAGAGTCAAGCAGGGATGACCGCACACTTGCCCTTGCGCAGTGACAAGCAGGGATGACCACACACTTGACACTATAGACAGGTTCTACACTAGAGACACTGGCAGGGATGTCCGCACACCAATGCTCTACCACAAGATGCAGGCAGGGATGTCCACAAACCTGATCTTGCGCAGCAACAAGCAGGGATGTCCGCACACTTGCTGCTTAAAGATGCCAATTACAGAGCAGGAAATGACCACACACTCTGTCAAGTATTAAGCAGGGATGACCGCACACTTACTACTTATCACAGTACAATATAAGCAGAGAAGTCCGCACACTTACATATACCTTCATAGGTTTGTTGAGTTTTATCTCTAGAACCTACCTCAACTGATTGGCAGTAAAAACCCTATACTGTAAACCAACCTTTATTCGCGACGACTTTATTTCGCGATTTGCCGGGGGTAAACCAGTTCGCGACGACTAATTTTTGCGATAAAGCCTATTTAGGTTTCATTTTAATAGACATAAAAAGACTTTAAGAACCGGTTCGCGGCGAGAAATATTCGCGATGACGAGGCTCTCGCGAACTTCGCGAAAATTTCTCGCACGCGAATAAAAGTTGGTTTACATAAGTACCATATATAATACATAGTGATTATTTATTTACAAACTAATTAAAATACTAATCAAGCTTCCAATCAACAAACTTTTAGTATCCCAACTAAAGTAACATACAAAGATTATAATTGACCACTTTAATTCAAATTCAACACTAATTAAATATTTATTTTCGATGTATATAATTAGTGATTAATAATAACAAGGTCGATAATTTTCGCTATAATAAACATATAAGAGACAGCTTTCCGTTTCAGTATTATATATTAGTAATCATCATAGTAATCATAAACGCCTGTCAATGAACCAGTACATTGATTGAGAAATAAAGTACATTACCTATTTGTAAATCTTGTATTGGACAAAGACATTGGAACTGTAAATATTAGAGAGAAAAGCGAAAAGCGGATTTTATGCCGGATCTGGCAATGAAGTGCCAATTCGTAAAGAAGCTATAATACATGATTCAACGCTTGTATAGTTAACAGAACAGGCCTTAAAATCTATAAAGTCATTAATAGAACTATCTTCTGGATATGATAGTTGAGGAAGCAATGGAATATTACCATCCTTTTTGGGGACTAAACCTAATGGGGAAACTTGCATACAAACAAAAGGAGAGTTTGGAAACGTTCTCCCTACTCGCTGCAGCGCTACCTCTTTACTAACTGTATACAGGGAAATTTCGCCCCCGTTTTATTTTCGCTCCTTTCGTCCTACCCTCATTTGGGCGAATTTAAAACGGGGCGAATACAAAGAATAGAGTATATTTCTTAAACAAAACTATGACTGGGCGAATTTAAATATTGTTTGCACGAGTGAAAGGGCGAAAATAAGACGGGGCGAAAATAACCCTGTATACAGTATTTTATTTTCAGCTATGCACATATTTTCACACAAACTACTGAAATTTCTCTTGCCCTTCGTTGAAAAAGTGAAACCCGGAAGTAAAACTGTGGCATGTTTACAACCTTCCAAATGCTTTGAAAAGGAACTAGTTTTATAGGTGTCTGTCCTAGTGAATAAATTAAGCGATTGTTTTGAGCACTTAACTTGAGGGTGTTTCCTCCGCACTGGCTACATGTGTGGTTATACAGCATCTGGGGGGAAAAGACAGGGTTTATCACCATTGTAAGCATAACAACAATCCAAAGTTAGTTTGCCTAATTGTTTGATGAAATATTTTGCATGTTAGTAGCTTGCTGACTGTAGCTTGTATGCGTGTTTCCAGCTAAAACATGCAGAAATCAGTATACAGAATCACCCATTTTCAGAAGACTTTCCCACATGGAGTATACGGTGAAAGGGCTTTGCGTAGACGAAACTGCTCGTCGTCCTTATAGCAATTACAAACGACTAATGTCTCAAATATTATCTTAACAAACCCCGTTCTTTAAAACTTAATTTATCTAATATAATACTAGTAAAAAAAAAAAAAATTCTAGGTCGATTTCTCTCTAGGTAAGAAATTATTAGTCTTAGTATATGCAACAGATAGTGTGCCATTTACGCTCAGCAGGATGCCCCGTGAATCAAATTCCGCAGCAGATTAAAGGAGCAAATGCAAATTGATAAACTGACATTGCCAAATCTTGAGTTTGTTAGGACTTTAGCCTCCTTAAAGTACGTATTCACAAAATTCAGTTGACATATTGGGTTATTTTGCTTGTGTTGGACATTATTATCATGTAAAACAGATTTGTCTCAACATAATGTTGGATGGTTTCGGTTGAAAAAGATAGATAACTCGTTCGATGATTATAACGGAGACCCGAAGGGTTCGTAAGAGTACAACCCTTAGCCAATCTAAATTAATTTTGTACTATTTGACATTCATCAATAAATTTAATTTTGATGATAATAAAATTTGTCCTATAATTTTCTCTACATTAGAAAGGGAAAGATATGTAAAAAATACATGAAATTACAGCTGTATAATACTCTGTTTTTCATTAACTAGAGAGACAGAACGAGTCTTATGAAGAATTTCTGAATTTCCTGCTGATATATAAAAAACACGGTGGAAAATTGGAAGACGTGGATAGGAATGGGAACACGCCACTTATGTTGTTTTTGAAACATGGACTTTACGACTTCGATGACACTCAGGATAAACTTGTGGATCTGATAGATGAGATAGTGTCAATTCTTGCATGTGACGGATCGACAGTAAGAAAACGGAACAACACAGGATCGTCAGCTATACACATTGTCTCGTCAAAAGGATGGTTAAGCACGATGAAAATCCTTGTACAAAAGGGGGCCAAAATTTCCGAGAAGGATGAGGAACAAAATAGATGGCTTCATCTTTCCCACATGGGAGGTATATTTTGATTTTTCTGGTATCATTAGATAAGATAATATATATATATATATATATATATATATATATATATATATATATATATATATATATATATATATATATATATATATATATATATATTTAAAATCAATTCGAAGCTGAGTTCTGACAAGAAAAGCCCCAACCTCATTTTTCCTAAAGCAAGAGTTTTATGTAAAATATCTATATAAACATAAAAAATATACAAAAAGTTATTATCAATTTACATAATATAATTAACAATAAACATGAATGAGGATGAGTTCTTACATGACATGGTAGTATATCGTTGAGAGAAGGACATTAATAAACCAATTAAACTTTTTTCTGTACCTTCGAGGGGCGTTCAATAAATAATGTCATTAGCTCAATGATATACAACATTGCAGTCGTATGACATAAAGCTGGACTTCCTCTCATTATTGAATCTTTAATGAATTGATAACAGTTTGTGTGACCACTTTTCATCGCATTATTTCATCGTGGGAAGCTGGAAAACAAGGGCTATTCGAGACACTGCATTAAAAATGAATGGTCAAGAATCAGTAAACTATAGTAAAATTAAACGCTTCATTAAATCAGCTGTAAAACGTGTTAAAATTCCAAAACTATATTAACTGAAATATGGGAAATTTACAGCAACAAATGCCTCTTTTCTAGACATGTGACCATGTAGATTTCAATAAACAAAATTATATAATTGGCATCAAAAATTGGCACCGTCCTTAGCAACAATGACTTACAACAACCGATGTAAATTTGCAAAATTTCAACTTATTGTCACTGTTTGTTTTATTGACTTTAAGACACATAGCAAAATTGATAAAAATCATTTAGGGGATAGTTCATTCTGTTTTAAAGAAACATTTTATAGTAAAAAAGTTTAATACTCAAAGGTCACCCTATATTTTGAAAAATGAGTGAAAACAACAGCGTGTAGGAATATCCAAACAATCATTTAAAAAAATCAAAAATTGTACTTATCCAAGTTTGTATGAAATTCTAACAGTTAATGAAACTTGAATCCAGTTTGCTTTAAGCCCACAAAACAAATTCACAATAAGATGCTAAACTACAAAGGCCTAAGAAGAGCAAAGAATCACATGAGAATAATACCGTTTTATATGCTATTTTCTTAAATATTAGCGGTCTTGTTGCTCAAATTCATATTTTGTGAGGAAGTTCAATTTATGGAGGAGTCTAGAAATCAATTTTTTTTGCAAAACAATGAAAGGTTTATGAGAAAAAGGAAACAGAATTAGAAATCCACTACATTAACCTACAGGCCATGAGGAGTAAAGGAGTTTTGGGGATATAAAGGAAGTTAATGTTTTGTCACAACAACAAAATTTGCCAGATCTTTCAATCTTTGACTTGTTTCATTTCCTAAACTTAGAAAAACATCTATCAGAAAGAAAAAAAAGAAGTAAAACAAATCATAGGATCTGCCGTATTCCAGTGTACGAAGGGTCATACTAAAAAATGTGTTCGATAAACAATTAGAAATTGAATGAAAATGTTACGGATATATGTTTTAATTGAAAGATAATATTTTAGTTAAATCATTAAGACAAAGCCATGGAAAAGCGTTTTTTGTTTCTTTTCGAGCCCCAGTGACATTATTTATTGAACGCCCCTCGTAATTATGTCGATACTTTTGAATACTTGCTGAAAAGAGTTCTTCCAAATCTATATTTTAAGCGTTATAACCCTCTAGTAGCAGCGATTTGTTCAGCAAGTATAGAACTATTCTTGGTCTACCACGCTAAAGTAAATGGAATTGCCCGTTTTCTTCAGATGCTTTTGCAATTTCAATGAAATTAAGCAAGATAAATTGACGAATATTTGGACTAATATCAAATGCCTATTGTTTGGGGGGAAAATAATGAAGAAAACCCATATCATCGCTATTCTGAAATAGAATATTTTATTAAGTCCTGCTAAAAAGGCTTAAGACCGTAAAAATAGAATAACATCAGTTTATTACGTTTAGCGAAGGATTAATTCTTTGCAAAACATATTAAAAGATACCTTTTGTTACCTTTTTTTGAGGTTTTGATAATCTGAAAAGATATATTCATCATACTTATTTTCTTCATTGTCTTCACAAAAATTGTATAAATGTAAGACTCCATAGTGAGATGGTGACGCCAAAGTCGGATGGTCTCGCAAAAAAAAAAAAACACGATGGTCTATGCCAAACCCCGATGGCTTGCTGTCTTTATGGTCGCCAAAGTTCGATGGCTCGTTTCCCATGAGACATGAGACACGTTGGGCTAAAGTATGATGGTCTGATACTCCAAAGTCCGATGGTGCGAAGGAACAATCAACGTTTATGACGTCATAATATTCTGACGTCATGACGTTGTCCTGCATTCAAAATCCAATAAGACATTCGTGGCAAAAAGAAACATATTTAGAGCTTGTTTACTTCTTAAAAGATACCTAAAAGGGATAAGTTGTAAAATCCTTTTGATTATGATTTTCTACATATTGGAATCGGAATGTTAGAATGGAGGTATTGTCACAAGCCACAGTTTCTATTCAAATTCAAACCAAGGATTGCTGCAGCTACAAAATTCTGGTGTTTTCATAATGTTAACGACAGTAGAACAAAACTACAAAATGATGATCAATGAAAATGAGTATGTTGTATTTGGCTTAGCTGCAAAAATGTAGTCCACCCCCTTTTTGGAGAGGGCTACAACTCCTTAGATCTCCGTAATGGTGCAAGTGCGAGAGTTATTCACACATTTCGTTTAACATTCTTTGTGCCGCAGGCCTATTTTGGGCCTACCGTTAGCTCATTTACGTCACAAGTAAAACTGATTATGACGTTACGTCATCGTTCCGAGTTTTGCGCCATTATGACCTCTTGGTACTGGAAACTATTATATAGAATATTCATTATTAACAATCCATATATATGTTACTTTTCGTGTATGTCAACATCGCAACTTGAATTTATCCGCCATGTTTTCTTACCTGCATAATTTTATTTTTGCGTCAGCCAATGAGAATTTAGGATCTTTAGAAAGTCCCTTATTTTATGCATACATATCGCTGTTTGCGTAAAAAAAACCCCACTAGATATGGTTTTATTTATCAATGTTTTTGTGATACCATTCATCAAAATCTTTTATAAACCCTTACATTTGCTTTATTAAGTTGTTCTAAATTTCAAACGAAAGTCTCAGTACATCACGCATAAACTAGCATGGCTGCTGAGTAGAGCAACTGGAAACACGAAGATTTATTTTACATGTTTTTTGCATTAAACATGCTATGTTGTTGACAATGATTAAAAATTTCGTCTTATTACAAGTGAGTTGAATGTAAAAATAATTTATTTTGTCTGCAGTCGCCCGTATTTAAAAAATATATTTGAACATTACGGGGATGTTGTGGAATTGTAGCCATCTCCAGAAAACATCAGATAGAAAATCGGAGAGGGCTCAGTAATTGGGGATTTTTAACTCCAAAAAACAAGGTACAGTAAGGGCAAAATTCGGCCTACCATCAAATTTAAAAATATTTTGGAATATAAATCTAGAAGATTTATCTTTTCAGATGACAGTGGTTACATATTTGTGTATAATTTAGTATTGGAGAAACAACGCTGTCAATTTTGCATCCTTTTTACCATATTTTTCCTTTTTGACGTCGTAAGAACATATGTAACGTCACTGAAATTATTCATCGAAAAACAATGTACAAAATATATAATTAAGACAATTTTTATTCTCTGAAAATAGTAAATCTACAGCATGCAATCTCTTTCTCTCTCAAAAAAAAATATTCTCTCATTAAATACTAGAGATGGCAACCGAATACGGAACTGCTAATCGGTTAACCTAAAGAGCGGTTAACCGCTTAACCATATCAAAATATATTTTCAATATTTTTTTTCTCATAAGTAATTCATGTACACAAGAAGAACTTAAGTCTAAAATTTTTAAAACTGTTCTATTTGTCTTGATTCTTGATGAGAAAATTATATGCATACTACATGTATTATATATCTATATTTTCAGTTTCAGTAGACTGGAAAAAAAATCAAGAAAACCATGAATCATGTCTGAGAAAAAAGGCATAGATCTTTTCACCTAAGTTCATTCAGCGTTGTCACCATAATTAAGATTTATTCTGAATTACATTTTCAAATTTACAGTGTTTAAT